AAGACTTCATCTAACTATTAATTTATAGTGAATTGAAGAGAGGTATTATTACAATTAAGAGGATATAAATACCAATTTCTTTTGTTTTTTCCAAGTAGAGTATTTAGTCTCTTGTCTTTGCCTGACTATATCCGACAGCCACACAAAAACACGAGAAACGTCCATTAATATGACGAAAGATAACAGCAAAAGAACGACTAAAACTGAACTTAGGCCCAAATTATTTTCGGAAACGCTCACATTTGCCGAACTTTTCTTCTGCCTTGATGTTTTAGACAAAGTTTTTGTTTGGAGTTTCAGAAAGTTTTGTTGTTCTTTTATAGAATTTAGAACCTGACTTTTTGTTCGCTTTCGGTGACACGGACAACTACACATACAGACCCTACCAGTACAGGCCGTTGATTTAAAATAGATTGGTTTAGCAAACATCGTAGTGTGAGACACAGTTGTATTCAACTCGGTCGTAGTTGACGTTGTTGTCGTATCCGGTTCTGTTGTAATTGACGGCTGTGTGGTTGTTGTCGGAGGTTCTGTTGTGGTTGACTCTGATGTTGTCGGCTCGGTTGTTGTAGGAGGAGGCTTTGTTGCTGTCGTCTCGGTTGTGGTAGTCAGAGGCTCTGTGGTTGTCGACTCTGTTGTTGTAGTTGGTTGCGTTGTTGTAGTTGGCTGCGTTGTTGTTGTCAGCTCAGTTGTTGTAGTCGGAGGCTCTGTTGTTGTCTGCTTTGTTGTTGTAGTTGGGGGTTCTGTTGTAGTAGTCAGTAGTTCCGTTGTCGTCGACTCTGTTGTAGTCGGTTGTGTTGTTGTTGCCGGCTCGGTTGTTGTATTCGGGGTATCGGTTGTTGTTAGCTCGGTAGTAGTTGGTGGTAATGTCGTGGTGGTTATCACTTAAATAACAATGGAATTAAAAAATTATCAAAATAGGCATGATTGTTTTCTATACTTTTCTGTACTTTCAAAAACAGTGACGAATATTATGAGTAAATAAGCGACATACCATTATCACACAAATTACCAGTGTATCCTGGTTTACAAGAACATGTATATGAATTAACACCATCATTACAAGTAGCTCCGTTTTTACACTGATTAGATACACAGTCATTGACAGTATCTGAAAAGCAAAAATAAGACGGCACTATTTATCCTAATCAATGTTGCAACACCCTTGAGAGACACTCTCCGTTGCTAATATTTTTGTTGAGTACAAACTTGATACAGTTAATTAACCATTGCTGCTGACGACGATGGTTGTTCACAAATCATGTGCAACTTGAAGATTTAGCTCAGACACGGAATTATTGGCTTGAGGAGAAGATGAAGATGACAATATCGATAACGATGACTATTAACATTAATGTTAAGTTGATGAGTGTGTACATTCAATCTTGACTGAACTTCTATAATGATGATAACGATGATGATGATCATCGTTAAATTACCTATTTCACAATTTGTACCAATATATCTCGAACCTTCACAATGACATCTAAACGAAGTAGTCGTGTCTATACACCAACCTCCATTCTGACAGGGGACGCTGGCACATTCATCAGTACCTGAAACATGTCACCAATCATCTTTTAACGAATTTTGTCAAGACCGAGTAAATTTCGGCTTTACGCCCACCTTGAGTTTCAAGGTTGGTTGTTCTTCTATGTATACGCTTTGCGCAATCTATACTTAAAGGAAGCTTCTAATATCTAAACAAATACATGTTCTCCACGTGGCAGCATAAACCTATCATTTTAAAGTTAAACTTGGACCTTTACAAAATGTAAAATAGATACAAATACCTGAGAAATCTTTCATTTTCATACCAGCTGGAAATCCGTATGCTTCTCTACGATCGAATCCATAAACCAATATGATAAACGGGGAGGGGGCTGAATAACGTTTAACATCTCTAGTTCCACTAAATGAGCTATAAACATCGTAGCTATTACACAGGTTTGAATACGTGTTCGATGGTGAAATGTTTCCCGTGATACTTTGTGGGGCTATAATGTCGATCCCTCCCTTATAGGTATCGTCATAGTAACGAAGCGGATTCCGTGGTATCATGTAATCCGTTGTTCCCTTATCAACTGGGGGTACCAGAGACATGTACGCATCCCCATTATAGTCTGATGAATATTTAACCCCCGCCATTAATAACATCACTATGATTTTATCTGATGCTGTGAAGCATAATTTTTCAGATGCGTCTAAGTACCTAATATCTACAGGATCACCAGCATCCGGTGAGTAAGTTATCCCTTTGATGACAAACGACGTCCCTGGATTAACAGCCACGATACGTAACATAGAATCCATACTTGTGTGACCATGTGGAGCAATGAGAGCGAATTCAGTTCCTAACTCTGAAATTGGAGGTAACATTTCGATTGTTGGATCTTCTCTGGCATTATCAGGAATCTGGATTCTGTGAGCTGCTGAAATGACTGCTATTGGTTTATTTGAAGTGATGCGACTTCCGGTTGAGTCTAATTCACAGTATATGTTCACTACGTCATTCTTTTTTAGATTGAAATTATAAACGTAACCATTACCTCTTGTATTTAAATAACCATCCTCATAACAACGTGCGTTATATTCTTGTCTAAGCGTTAAAGAAATGGTTGTATCGTCCTCGGCTGCAACTATTATTATCTGGGCTGAAAAAGAAAGTTTAACGACACTGTGTCTGCATTCTTAAGTCTTACAAATAGACCTGGAAAATGTAGCATATTTCCAAAGTCTTTATTGTAACCACATGTCTCAAATTATTCTTAGCTTATCCTTAGGCATGTTCCTTAGCAACAGTGTCTGGCGTTTGTCACATCTAATATTTGCCTCCACAACAGGCTATCCCGTCATTAAATTTGTTTGGTAAAGAAATTACTTCTAAAATCATTTAAAATGATTGCGGGAAAATGTGTGAATAACATGACGCAAGATTCCCAGTATCAAATTCACTTTCTGATAATTGAGATTCAAGGTTGAGTTAATGTCAAATTGGCTGTTCGAAAGTGCCAAAGCTATGATAGTTTACAGAGCATGAATGTAAATATCCTGTAATCTTTACACCGCAGTGAAATATTGACAATTGGTCGGAAATACTTGCAAATGAATTATTTTACAAAACATCGATCACCCAACGGGAAGGGAATTTGTGTGAAAGTGCAAGAGTGCCCAATTATTCTAATAAGGCCGCGATTTTCAATTACCTGTAAGAATAACCGTAACGTATGCTAAGAGAGGTTATAAGTCATCAATGGCGTGAATATCGTGTTGTGAGGACAACGGTTAGAAGTGATAAACGCCGTACAACGTTGCTAAAAAAAACATCCTACGTTTGTGAATTAAATTGTAAAAAAATATATACATTTGAACAACAAACTTTCTTAGTCTTGAAAATATGAGGATTTATAAAAGACTAACCGTAATCTTCAGAATTGCCCGAATCCATACAAACTGTCATGTAAGATGTACCAAGGGAGGGAACTGGGTAAACTAGCATTCCTTCTGTATACCATTCTTTATAACTGTATGCATACACTGATACTTTCTTCGAGGCAATGACAGAAATCCCTTTATTTTTTATCCTAACACCACGAGGCGTTGCTCTGACGTCCGTGCCGTACTCAATCCTCCTCTGTCCGTTCATGTTAAGTGTGAATTTAGTTTCTTCCCCAGTCAAATGTTTCGTCACTATTACATCGGTTGTCTCCCGAGTGTTACTATAATTATGTTCTTGGTATTTTCATACAATCTTGGAAAGGACAAAATAAAATGTGTTCCCCAGTGATCCCTGTCTAAACCTGGAAAACATTGGAAATATCATTAGTGTTATGACTTTGATGCATCAATCTCTAAGTGGTAATGACGGATACTATGCATCTCATATAATATAACTATCACAATTAGCATTTTATTTATTCAATTATGTAAATTATAGGAGTGTTTTTATTTCTTTAACAGATTAACAAATAAGTCTGAGGAATATGCCGAAACTAATTCTTAATCTTTTTGACAGCCAAACTCATGTTCTCACAAGTCAGTGGGTTGGTGGATATTTGGAGCTTAAATTCCCCATATTTTGTCATTACTATCGAAAAACACGAAATCTAAACACCTGAACTGGCTTCGTAAATCATTCTAGCGACTTACCTACACATGGGATGATACACAGAGTTATAATCTGAAATAGAAGTAGAAACACAATCGTTATTGAAACCAAAAAAGTACAAAGTAAGTCCTGATACCGTGTGTACGTAAACTCAAGCTAAAAATCCGTATCTAAAAATCCAATCCAAATACAAAATGGGGGAATCAACTATACAGAAAGTCATTTCAAAGGGGGCTTCTCCTCTCTTCATTTGTGTCCTGACCCATTATCACGCAGTCTCAATTGACAGTGATTTCGTCGTTTACTACATGGAAGCACGTTGGAGCTTGAGTTTCAGTTTGAGTTGCACTGAAAGATATATGGAATCAAAAGATTAATTCAAACAGAAAACGTAGACAACAGATGGAAGAAAACGAAGAAAACAGTTCTCAAAGAAAGACGGTAAAGAAGATAGAATTATTAAGAAAAAAAGTCTATAAACTGCAATCGGAAATACGTACAAAAATGGTTTTCTGCATCTTGGATTAGATGGTATATCTTTTCTGTGAGTATCCTTGAATCAATTTCAGCATAATCCCTTTAAACTCTGTGTAACACATTTCCAAATCCTAATTATACCATTTTTATAATACATTATTACAATTTAACAGTATCAAGAAACTGCTTTTGTATACAACTAAACGTATATCTTTATTGTCCACTATCCGAATAGCACAGAATGGTGTTATCTCTTTAAAGTGAATAACCACATTTCAATTATTCGATTATCATACGAAAATTGTCTTTTTAAAGAATATTTAGTTATCAACTATTCAATTACCATACGAAACTAAGAAATTACTTTTTATATTAAAGAATATCTAGTATTAACTATTCTATTTCCATAT